CTCCTTGCGTTTCTCTCGCCGTTGTTTCAGGCGTCGGGCCTTCTCTTCATTCCGCATTTTGTCGAATGCTTCCTTTTTCTTCTTGTACTCCTCGTAGCGCTCGGCTTGCAACTTCTTGATGAAGTTCTCTTTATCTTCGATCATTCTGCTCAGCCAGTTTTTGTGCTCCATGGCGATTTGACGCTCTTGGATTGCCTTCTCGACGCGTTCTTTCTCCATCTCGTCCCATCGTTTGCGGCGTTCTTCCTCCTGACGCAGGAATTCTTTCTCCAGGAGAGGTATTTCTTCGAGCCGTTTGGCTCGCTCCATGTGATCGACTAGAAGCTGGAGTTCCTTTCGCTCCTTCCTCCAATGATCCACTAGGATCTGTTGAATCTCCTCGGTGTTCATCTTCTCGAGAACGTGATCTTCCATTCCCTCGAGAATCTTGGCACCAACTCCAGTCTTTTTCAGTTGTTCGATTTTCTCCAGCATGAATTTCCTACGACGCTCGTCCTCTTCTCGCTGACGCCTTATCTTCTCTCGTTCTCGAGCTTCTTTAGCGAGACGGGCCGCTTCGGCCTTTTTGAGTTTCTCTCGACGTTTTTCTTCCTCGCGTCTCTCCTCTTCTTCCCGAGCGAGACTCTTGTTCTCTAGATCAGAGGTTCCCAAACTGGGTTCCGCGGAACCCTTGAGGTTCCGTCGCTCTTTTCCGGGGGTTCCGTGAAAAAATCTTTGCGGGACCCTAGTGTTCCGTGGGCTGCTCTTTGCGCAACTCGGGGTTCCGCGACGAGGTTTTGCTTCCATATGTACGGTCATATACGGGACCTAGGTGTCGTAGCTTTGAGGGGAATTTCTTTTCCTGATTCCAAATGTCTTCCTCAATTCAGAAGGGAATTGTTCTAATTGGCGCTTCGATCGGCTTCGAACGCACTCTGCGAAGGTCGTTGCACAAGGCGCGTTCCCACTAGATGAGCATTCCTCAGTTACGCAAGAATTGACTTAAGCAATAAACATTCGGGTCTGGTCCGGAACAAACGCGTGTTTTCTCCTCTAATAGCTGAAAGGAAGGAGCAATTGACAGGACTTTGAAAGTTTTGAAAAATGAGGAAGGCTTCCACGGAACACTAGGGGTTCCACGGAACCCTAGGGGTTCCGCGAAGGGTTCCGCGGAAGAAAAAGTTTGGGAGCCACTGCTCTAGATCTTCGAAGCAGCCGTGAATGTTAACATCAACCAAACGTTCTCACAAGAGTCTCTTGACTTGGAAGTCAAGTCCCAAGAAGTTCAACGCAGACTCATTCAGCACGATCTTCAGAAGAAAAAAGGTGAACTTCGAAAAAACTTATTGGTAGCATCATCATCCGAAGAAGATCCAGCCAGCGGAATTCAGCCCATCCCAGAAGATCGTGATCCAGACAATACTACCCCAGAGAAGTAGGAAACAAGAGCGACGACAACAAAGAGGAACCGACAACACCGGACGAAAACCTTCTCGAGACGTCGATCTTCCAGGACCAGCAAATGGTCTCCTTCAGAGTAGACGAAATGGACTACGGAGAAGAAAACACCGAGACCAAACGAACCAGAAGAATTCGGAAACACCCTTCCTTCCTCGATGTCACGCATACTAATGCCCCGCGATATAAGTCCTTAAAGTTTGACCAAAGCAATTGTTCTCTAAAGAAAGGGAGATGTCGCGGTCGGCTTCCCAGCCTAACGCGTAGACTGGAAAACTGCTAATCAGATTACGACGATTCTGAGTCAGCATAGCGGATAACGAGATGTGAAGGTTAAAAGTGGCCCTTGCTCTAGAGAACTATAAAAGGAGCCACCGATTCCAGAATAAACAAGCACGAGCCAAGTACGAGCTGAGTATTAACCAGGTGAACTCGACGTGGTCTTCCTTGATGTTCCAATACCTACCGCTTACACCACAACACTCGACTCCTGGTTTCTGGCCGCGCCCTTCGGGAATGCGAGAACTCCGGACCGACGGGGTTTTCCCTTCTCTCACGGGATTTCTGCCATCAGAGGGGTCTCGGAACGGTCCCGAGACAGGCGCACAGGGAGAGAGGGTCTCGTCTGAAGGGTGAAGAACACCTTGCTCAGGGAGAATATGCTCCGAGAACTCCGACGGGGAAAAATCGCCTTTCGAATCACAGAAATTAATGTCTTCCACTAGGGGATGAATTCCACCCATTAGCTTCGCATCGCGGGGAGATAGCTCTTCTCTTCCTTCGGCAGCTCTCGACTTCACCTGCGATGCCTGAACTCGTTATGAAGATCGTCGCCCGTGCTGCTCCTGACTCGATGAGTAAATTCCGAGTTCTCGGCTTCCTCGAGTGCAGCCTCGAGCCGGGAAGACGTGAGACCCTATTCTCTATAGGGACGGGCTCCCCAGACCAAGAGGCTCGAGCGTTCGAGAGCCCGAGAGAAGGACATCGGATGCCCCGCGGATCAATTTCCGATGAATTAAAAACTCGGCAATGACCGAAACAATCGGAGAATCTTAGGCGGGGTAGCCTATCAAATCGAAGAATGCGGTCCGCGTTGTATGGACCAACTAGAAGGGTCGTTCGGATCGGGTCGCCTCGACCGATTTCTCTGCTCGCCCGATGAAGGTCGACGTCAGCACGCTCTCCCCAGAAGACAGCGAAAATTCCGAGCATCCAGGTGTCAAGATGCATAAGCGCATCTCATGCGATTTATTCGACAGCTCTTATTAAAGTAATCAAAATAGCTCATCTTGTTCACTAAAATTCCGATCGTTCTGGAAGGCGCATTCTGGTCTCGAAGAGACCGCCGCCTCCCAAGACATATCGTTGCCGTTATATTCATCGGAACAAACGATGGAACAAACGGAACATCGTCGGGATGTTAACGAGAGTCGAATGTAGCATGACTATTTCTTACGCCAATTATTGTCGTTCGATGATGCACTTCCGGATCCTGCCGCCCTAGAAGGAAATTGTTGTCTCGGGTTCTTAATCCGGTCTCCAGAGTCTTGATTATCACGATCACTGCTGGCTTGCGGGGCACGTTCCCATCTCTCATTCGAAGGAGCGGTGTTACTCGAGCTCCCGAAACCCATGCTTTTCCGGGTGGGTGGGCCATCATCTCTCTGAACTCGACCCCGGGAGCCGAAATTGTTATTCGTATCGTCATTCGTGCTCCCACGGTTTCGCCACATATCTATGGGCTCGCGCTTCGAAGACCTCTCTTTTTCTCTGATGGCAGCCAGGTCTCGTTCCCTCTCGGCCTCACGCTTGTCCAAGAGTTCCTTCTCTCTCTGCCTACGTTTCTCTTCCGCTGCTTCTCTGGCGGCTCGCGCCTCATCCTCACGCTGCTTGCGTTCGGCTTCTTCTGCTAGTCGAGCTTTTTCTTCTTTCTCCCGTCTCCACTCCTCACGGCGCTCCTCCTTGCGTTCCTCTCGCCGTTGTTTCAGGCGTCGGGCCTTCTCTTCATTCCACATTTTGTCGAATGCTTCTTTTTTCTTCTTGTACTCCTCGTAGCGCTCGGCTTGCAACTTCTTGATGAAGTTCTCTTTATCTTCGATCATTCTGCTCAGCCGGTTTTTGTGCTCCATGGCGATTTGACGTTCTTGGATTGCCTTCTCGACGCGTTCTTTCTCCATCTCGTCCCATCGTTTGCGGCGTTCTTCCTCCTGACGCAGGAATTCTTTCTCCAGGAGAGGTATTTCTTCGAGCCGTTTGGCTCGCTCCATGTGATCGACTAGACGCTCTTGTTTCTGCAGACGAAGCTGGAGTTCCTTTCGCTCCTTCGTCCAATGATCCAGTTGGATCTGTTGGATCTCCTCGGTGTTCATCTTCTCGAGTACGTGATCTTCCATTCCCTCGATAATCTTGGCACCAAATTCAGTCTTTTTCAGTTGTTCGATTTTCTCCAGCATGAGTTTCCTACGACGCTCGTCCTCTTCTCGCTGTCGCCTTATCATCTCTCGTTCTTGAGCTTCTTTCGCGAGACGGGCCGCTTCGGCCTCTTTGAGTTTCTGTTGACGTTTTTCTTCCTCGCGTCTCTCCTCTTCTTCCCGAGCGAGACTCTTGTTCTCTAGATCTTCTTTCCTCTTCTCGATCCTGGATTGCCTCTCGAGGATTTTGCGATGCTCCTTTTTGCTGACCATCAAGTAGACCTTGTATATTTCTTTGCGGAGCTGTGCGCGTTCTTGAGCGATCTTCTCTGGCTGAATGATGTTCACGCTTTGATGCAGTACTTGATAGAGCTTTTCCAGCTGGGTTCGGATCAGATCGGAGGGCATCGCTTGGAGATGAGGACCCTCGATCGTCTCCTCTCGCTGCGAGATCGTCAGCTCAGAGCCGAAATGAAGAGCCTGACGCTTGTGATCGATTCGGACCTGGAGGCTGTTCCGGCGAACGGCGTCCACTACGGCAGCTTCGAGCTCGAAAGAGTCGACCATCGGGCACAGTTCCAGAACTCTCTTGATCGAAATCGATTCGTAGACTTGAGCGATTTCCCGAAGCAGCCGACACACCATCATCGACTTCAGTCCTCCGAGGTAGACGGTGAGCTCGTCCGAACCATCTTTATCGATTACGAATTCTTTCGACCACTCCTTGATGAAGTCAAAGCACTCGCTGACTCCGGCGCATAGATTCAAAGGATCGAATTCGCTTTCGAGTAGCGCGTACAAGCGTTGGAATTCCGGGGGAGCCAAGGAAACGACGCCGAGCCGCATGAGATCTTTGACTAGTCCTTGGCGTGTTGGAGGGCTCGCGAGGCCCAACAAGTTGGCGAGCGTCCGAGGATTTTTCTCGATTATTGATTCGTCGGTCTCAACGAGATTGTCGATCTCGATCCGATTTGGAGGCAACGGGGTCGACAATGTTGCCAGGATTACGCGGGCGGCGAGCTTCCGGAGTTCATCCTGGGTGATCGTTTTCTTCAGGTCCTTCACCAGAGTGAAATGTTTGAAAAGAGCGGACGCGTGGAACAAGCCGTTCCCGGCTTTCAAGAACACCAGAGCCAAACGCTGGTAATAGGTCGCCATCAACTGAGGCTTAGTGCTTTTCTTCGAGAGACACATCATCGTGTGGATGTCTTCGGTGGCTTTGTAGGCCTCCAGCCAGAGTTCCATTTTGATTGCGATATCTAACTGAGTCAGTCTCGTTTCGAGATGCATCTGCTGAGTCTCGCTCGATTGTAGGTTGACGGCGGTCACGTTGCTCTGATAGCGATGGATAAGCTGAAGATGCGAACGCAAGTTATCGCATAGCTTGCGGAATTCGGTCTTCCGGGAGTACTTGAGACAGAATTGGAACGCCGACTGGGCGATGTCGTGATAGAGTCGCTCGACCCGAGAGTTGTTCCGGAGAAGCTCGAGACATTGGCGATAAGACTCCCAAAGGAATTTCACCCACGGAGTCAACATGACTCGGTCGCTTCGCTCCTGGTTGCCTTCGCTAGAAACTGCGGACATCAAGAGACTCTCTGGAGTTTGAACCTGATCGAGATCGTCGATCTCGATCACGGCCTGGGCGCTGCTGTCGCGAGCCTGCTTCGTTTTTGATTCAGCCAATTCCAGATAGTCCTTCACCACCTGTTCGAGTGAGGCTATATTCACCTGGATCGGGACGAAGCCGGGATTAGATTGATATCGAAACTGGTATCGGAATTTCCAGTGGGTCTATTGATCCACATTCTCAACTTCGACTCGGGCCGAAGAATGCTGGATTGCGATTGTCGTCCTCAATGCGAGGCCCTTGCTCGCTGATCACGAGCTAGGGTAACTGAGAGGCTCATTTTTTTGACCTGATTAAGCAATCCGCTAACTCTTTTTCAGCGATGTTATCGGAGTATCAATTCAGGTCCCAAAATTCGTACTCCGGGCAAATATTCCTCACCACAGAATGAGACTCACTTGTTGGCAGATGTTCCTGTACTGGAACAAACCTTCTTTGGCGACATGACTCTTCTTTAGATCGACGCAGAGTTTGAGATAGAGTGTCATGATGGGCTCGTGGACCTTCTGCCATGTTCGGTGTTTTCGTGATTTGATGACTTCGTAGAGCGCATCGAGCGCAGATGCTTCCTTCCCAACGTCGATGAATTCTGCAATGAATGAAGAATTTCACTTAGCAGCGGAGGAGCATCCTGCATTTCCTGAGATCTGTGGGATGACTTGGGGTATGACGATGTCGACGTGAAATCGTTTTTTTGCGAGTCGTCTTCAAACGTTCGAAGCTTCAACATATGGTGCCAGAGGTACACAAGGTGCTCATCCGACGAGAAACGGATAGTTTCTCGTTGAGGACACCGGAGGGTTGCCAAAAATCTCGTCTCAGGAAATCTCGCGCGACGTTCTCGCATAAGAATAGCCGCTTCACGATGGAGATGGCTCCCTCCGCATTATGTTTGCCGAGTTTCTGATTGAAACGACAAGCTAAGACGGCATTCTCGTCAGAAACATGTGCCCGGCGGTGGGCTGTGATCGTTCAGGATATGAACGGAGACAATTAGACTGGTGCTTCCGGATATATGTGCTCAGCCCCCCCGCGAATTAGAATGAAGATATTCGGCGTCCTCGCCTCAAGCCATGGTGGACCGCCATAACAAAAACGTGGCCGAGCCGGCGAAATCAGTAAACACTTGCCTTGTGCCCTTTTCAGGGCACTTTCCGGACGCAGGAAGTAATTCGGCATGTTGAGGCGCGCAAGTCGAGTCCACCTGATCGGACAAAGACCTCGAATGAAGAAACTTCAACGACTAGTGTTCTCGGCACGCTGTCGTCACCGACGGAGAGACTCCGTTCAAGATGGCGGATGGAACCTCGCGGTGACTGAAGCTGACGACGAATGCTGTCGGAAGTTGCCGTGAATTCCTTTCAACGTTTCACGATCGGAAAATCTCAAATTATCGAGAGGCTCGTTTCACCTCCGGAAAAAGCTCGATGCGTATTCGGCATCCGTAACCTCGGTCTTCCCGAGGGAATATTTCCGATTAATCGCCTCCCGTGAATGCCTAAAATGGCTGCGATCCACAACCATGTTTTGCTCGTCAGAGCCGGCTTCCCGGGCAGATTTTCTAGCTCCACCATCGATGATCCGGCGATGAGCATTATATATTCTTCGACAGACGAGTATATTGGAGAATCAACAAAGATCTTCGATTTGAACCCGAGAATCTTACTCAATTTATCCTATTTTGAAAATGCCGCAGCTACCCTCTCCCCCAAAATACTTTAGGTGTGCTAGACAGAAGAGGTCAGACAATAATTGCATTCGAGTCAATTTCGGAATTACAGGCGCGCCTCGATAGCCTCGTTGGTCCGATTTCTGCGAGCTTGATTTGTGCGCCATCGGGAAAGCTCGGACGAAAGAGTTCCACCGTGAATAGTCGCATTTAGCGCTAAGCCTGTCTTGGCGCTGTCGGCACTACCTCATATCATCGTATCGATCGAGAGGGTTTTCCAGCAGCCCAGCCGCGCCCAGCCTGTTGTGGACGCAGCACAAAGCCTGCATAGTGAAAAAGACCCAGACAACTCTTCCTCTCAGACACGAGTCTAAATCTCGAGAGAAGTTCTCGAGCGAACTTCGAGGTCCATAACATTGTGCTATCAAGTTGCCTGTCTGCTCAAGAAACTCCAGCCTGCCCTCAGGGATACACAGATCTTCGCCCTTGGTAAGTCTTTGTCAGCCCCACCCCGGCGTCAGCGCAGACTCTCGAGGAACGATCTCGGAGCCTGTCGGTCTTCCTTATGACAGTCTGACAGTGTATCAGAACCTCGCGAGCTCGAGTTAATATAATCCCAACAAGAATCTGGAAGAGAGGCATTTCGGGACGAAAGGGAGGCCGTGCCCTCATGGAGTTGACAAGTGTAGCCGCACCGATGGAGTGCGGTATTCCACTTCCTGGATCGGGGGCCAAGTCGGCGAACCGGCGTGTGTATGGATAATTCCTCCCATACATCGATCGCGTCAGCATGAACTGCGGCTAATTGGTGATTTTCCATTATCCGAATGTTTTCCGCCCGTCCGGGGAGGCCCTAGACACTTCATTCATTTGAAGTAGTCGATCTTGAAGCAGTCGAAGTCAATGCATTCGCGATAGCTTCTTTTCCCCCGGGACAGAATCATTGAGTTTTCGCTGAACCATCGCGAGCGGTTTCAGAAACATGCCAGTCAGTTAGCAAGCCGTCTAGGGCGGAGCCCCAATTTCAAAAAACTTCACCGAGTCCTGAATCTATCGGGCTCCAGAGCGTTTGGACACGCAGGAAATCGGAGCCGGCGTGCCGGATGGCGTGAGAATTCTTTTACCAGTCGACATTGCGAAAAGTTCGCAGCTCCGCGTCCAGGTTCCGACCAGAGTGCTCGGGTCCTGGTGGGAGCGGATTCGAAATTCCCTCGCTACTTCTCGAGCGTAGCCGGCTTCGGTACCGTTCACACACGGTCGATCCGAGCTCAAGAAGATTCTCCTGTCCCTGCCGCTAGCTTGTTAAAAAACATTGACTGTGATCATCTGACAATCCAGTGAGATGAGGTGAATAGATTCGTTGCGGGATGCCGTTGCCGGCGAGGAGAGCTTCTCCAAGGTTGCCAGGGGAAAGATCTTAACGACGATCAGTTGGAATCATTTTCAAGAGGATCCCTCGAGCGGGCGAATTTCGCCGCAACGACGGGACGCTTTTCAATGGGAGAGAGCCTCGTTCAGGAGAGCGTGAATCACGCCATCGATCACCTTGTTTTGAGTTCAATCACGCTATGAATTCCCGAGGAATCAAGTATCCGAGAAAATGACCGACGGAGGAGAGATCCCGTTCGGAGTTCTGACCGACCAATCTCGAATATGTCATCAGGGACCACTTCTTGCCTGAATCAGCTTTCAGACGTCGTGTGGCGAAATGCTCCGGAGGTCCTCGTGCAGGATTCTCCTCTGGGAGTTTTTGAGGACAGCGACGGGGATCATTACTTTACCCTGTAGATGGAGCAGCCTCGGGCATCGGTTGGCTCCCGGGCTCCACGTCGGTCGCTGGCCATCGGCTTTGGGCGTGACCCAGGACCGAGTTCAGCATTTGGGTGTTGCGGTGAGGAGCTTCGAGACTGACGGTTCTGGAACTCGACACGACTCCCGACGTTCCTCGAATCATTCCAACAAATTCACTTGCTCGTGATGGGAGCCGAAAGCCAGTGGGTGTCGTGTGGTCTCACGGCATTGCTCAACGGAAGGGATTCCTCGAATTTCCTTTCTGAATAACCCCCTCAGTAAGCTGCTCAGATGTGGGCTCCGATACGGGAACTTACACATAAGGGAAAATCTGAAGCGCTAGGACGCCAGGAGATGCGTCCCTCCTGATTATTCATTTCTGTGAGGCCAAGCGTCATTTTCGAAGCGAAGCTTACAGATCTGTTCAAGATTCCCTGATTATTTCCTCTCCTGCAATGCGTTTCATGAGTCATTGTCCGGGAGGGAACGAGCAATCAAAAGAAGACAGAGTCTGTGTCGACATGAGAGTGGAGCAGTCACACTCCATTCGGACATCAGGTCACCGAGTAATTCGGATCAAGGCTGTCTTCCCGAAAGATACGGCTTTCCGCGCCTCGTATTTTAATCGGCGGACGGCCGTTGTTTTGCATGAGCAGCTATCAGCTGAGAGAATTCTGTGGGATCGTAGAGGAGAGTCCACATCAATTCTGGTTTTGACTGATTTCTTCGGGTCCCGATTGTTCAGTCTTGTTCGTTGCGCTTGGCCTTCTATTCCATGAGAGATGCTCTTCGATGCCGTCGGACTTCGCTATGATCCCACGAAAGGGAAAGTCCACCAGAAAAAAGAAGGAAGCCGAAGTGCCAACTCCGCTTCGACTATGACGGCACTGGATGGTGAATCATCCCACGAAATGATGCAGGATTGGGGGGAATGAAACATGCTGTTTCGCATCAGGATTTTCCTCCAATAACCGCACAAGAACTGCTCGGAACGAAAACCCCAAATCAGCTGGGCTCTGCTGCGAGCGATTCTCTTGCGAACTCTGGAAACTCTGACCGCGTGACGGCTTCGAGCCATCCTTCGAAGACAGAACATAGACAGCCATACGTTTGGCCTCGAAGCATGGTACTTGGCAGCATGCCTCTGTGAGGCGCCCTCTCAGTGAGCTTTACCTCTAAGCGAGCTTGAATCGGTTCCGATTTCGTATGACTACACAAAATGAAAGCACATGCATGGACTAGAAATATCGGCATGACCATCAATCAGTATGAGCAAAGCGAGTCCACCAAGCGTCTCAAATATTGCTCTTTTACAGGTTGATTCTTGATTCATTTTGTCACTGCACAAAATGGCAGACGAATCAAACGGTGCGACGAACGGAACATTCGACCCCGAGGATCCCGAGGTTCAGAAACAAATGATGCGGCCTCCTGACATCGCTGCCGACATGAAAGAAATGGATCGGAGAAAGCGAGTCGAGATGATCATGAACTCACAGGTAAGCTACGAGCGATTCAGCGTGTCCGAAGCTCGAGCCGAGCCGATCCGCACGTTTCCTTCTTCGATTCATAGCTTTCCCGAATACGTCGATGGGATCCAGAGAGCGATTTCCTGACACATTTCGCTGATCATACAGGTGTTCCGTGAAGAGCTCGAACGCATTGTTGAGAGTCAACTACGAGATGGTTACACCCCGGGCAATATTCATGCGCTGCAGCAAGTTACCGATTTGCTCTTGCCTAGCTCACAAAAACAGCGGGGACCCTTGCTGCCGATCAATGATATTCGAGGAGTAGATGGACTTCGGTATTCGAAACAAGAACGTGTCCTCAGATGCAAAATGGGCTCCTTGTGTCGGCTTTTGGATGCGTACGGCTGGACGACTCACCATTTCACTCATCTGACCGTGAGAATAACTCAGGACCAAGAGCATTTTCTCATCAATCCCTTCGGACTACTTTATCATGAAATCACGGCTTCGTCGCTGCTGAAAGTAGACATGCAAGGGAACGTCATCGACACGGGGACTACAACGTTCTCTTTCAATAAACAAGCCTTCGCGCAGCATGCGATCTTGCATGCGCATCGACCGGATCTTAAAGCTATCATCCAATGTCGCCATCCGGCCCTGGTCACAGTCTCCGCCATGAAAAACGGACTTCTCCCAGTTAGCGCGGACGCGGCCATCCTCGGAGAGATTTCCTATGCTTCTCCCGGAACTGATTGTGAAGTGTTATCCAAGGCTCTCGGACCCATCAACAAGATTGTTTTCATCCGGAATCAAGGCGCCATAATCAGCGGCGACTCCATCGAAGAGGCTTTCGGTTGCTTGTCAGCAACCATCTCAACCTGCGAACAGCTATTGCAATTGGCCCCTCTGGGCTTGGACAACGTTTATGTATTGAGTCCGGATGAGCTCAACGCTCTCAGGGAGGAACAGAAGGCTCTTAAAGACGTCGAGTCCTCAATCCCAGGAGACGAGGACAAGGACAGGGCCGATTCAAAGGCTGACAAAATGAGCAGGAGATTGAGGATGTGCGACGTGAATTTCGAAGCCCACATGCGGATGTTGGACAACAGCGGTTACAGAACAGGCTACATCTACCGACAGCCTCTGCTCCGCGACGAGAGACCCAGAACGAAAAACGAAGTAGAAGTTCCTCCTTCCGCCACGTCATTCGGCCAGAGTTTAGATGCAGACAAGTGGTTGAGGTAGGTGGAAATCCTAGCTAGGCATCGCCCTCTGATGAATTCTCGTTGGGGAATTGGCTGTGAAAGAGGACCTCTGAGTAGGGTGTGGTTGGGTGGCGCCTGGGCGGAGGCAGAGAGGGAGAGCGAATGGGACCGTTGACCTTTGTTGCGTGCGTGCGTGTGTGAGTGTGTGCTCGTGAGAGCGCGACCGTCTACCTATCTATTTGACAGCCATTGCTGCGCGGTGAGCACAGCTCACCCTCTGAATACGTCGTCGTCGTCATCCGTAACATTGATGAGCGGTCTCCGTCGTTTAGCGACTCGTGACACTGGAGTCTCGCCTGCTGACGGCGGTGATCATGAACGTCATCTTCGAGAGCATTCGGATCCTGATCCTCTAAGGGGTCGAATGCGATGATACGCAGCTTGCGTGTCCTCATGGATTTCCAATTTGGATCATGGGATATGGGATCATGGGATTCATCTTTCCAGATGAAGAAAATGGTTTTTTGGACCGGACTCCAGTCCGAATCGACAATCCTTTTCGCGCTGCTCTGAGAGTCCAAATACACATTGCTGCGATGATCAGACATCTTATCGCCTCTACCCTCTCTTCCACAGTCCTTTGAAGAAACTAATAGATGCCAGGAAGACGCAAGACAAGATGCGATATGTCAACTCGCCCAACTCTTACCAGAGAGTTGAGGTGCTTGAGACCGGCACTGCAGATCCAAAGAAAATTACCAAGGTGAATCAAGGAAACTAATTCGAGACTTTGAGTGTAAATCTCGGTATTGCATTCCTTGCTGTGGCGGGAGATTCCCAATCCGACCGAGTATCGTGATTGTTAGGCACGCGTACGTGATTTGCGACTGATCCAAACGAATTTCTCGGATCAATTCGTCATCCATCTCTGCCTAGAGCTCTCGCTTCAGGAGTATTCTCGTGGAAAGGATTCTTTTGAAGCCAGCTCCGTTTCGGCTCGAAAACCTGAGCTTGCCAAATCCGTTGGTGACGGCAAAGTGAAATCTGTGTAATCAAGGGGATTCCGTACTCCTCATTCCTCTTCTCTTCGAGAATTGGTGGTCGGCGACAACATCGAGGTTCCCGGGAATTCCGGAGACCCGATATTGGAGCGACTCATTGGGGGAAATACATAGAACTGCAAAACGCATCTCGTGATACCGGTCATGAGCTATCGTACAAGCTGTCTCTGAAACAACCTGCTATGATTTCGGACACGAGGCGCACATTGGAGGAGCCGACTGATATTTGACCCATTCTCTCCGAGGACCTTCGTGAACTCCGGTAGAGCTTACACCGACTTCGTATTTACAGTGGGTTCAAGACGGACAACAGTTTACTCAGCAGACGGTCTGTAAAATTGAGGGCAGTCATCAGTTTGTACCGACCAATACCGACCCGGCGGAGTTCAAGAGGAAACAAAAAGAGGTTCGTCGTAATGAGCGTTTCCGATGGCACCAACCTTGGCGTAATCACCTGGTGCGGCAATGCGGTCTGATGCCCAATTTGGCTTCCAGATGAAAGCGAATCGTTTGAATTCGAAAGTCACCGCTGGACCTACGTCGAACATTTTGGAGGGCTATACGTGGGAGGAAATAAGACAGATGCAGGAACAAATCAATAGAAGCGGCGACAATGTTGTTTCGTTCGGCGCTGCTTCTAAGGGAATAATTCAGAGAGACTTCCAACATAACGCGATGGTTTATAAGAGTGCTTATCAAAAGAATCCTTTCGACGGAATCACTGAAGAGGTTAGTCGAGTTCAGCTTCTTCGTAGAGTACGTACTTCCGGAAACTTGCTTCGCACCTATCCCTAATCGGAGACAGAGCGCACATCGGATTAGGAGTCAGAGTTTCATCAATCCACCGACGTCTCTGGATTCGCTTTGGAATTTTCTCAGAATCTGATGTCAATATTCAAAATTGCAGGATCTGGAAGAATACCACAAACTCATCGAACGTAAGGCTCGCGGTGAGATAATCGAAACGGATATCCCCGAAAATCTGAAACCCCTCCTCCAGGAACCTGTAGCCCATGGTAAGACATCGACTCCAATCAAAAGCCCGCCTGTGAAGTCACCGGTACAGTCTCCAGTCTCGGAAGAAGGTGCGCACATTTCAAGTTTGCCCATCGATCGAGAATCGTCGTGCCTTGATACCCGAAGTATCTTTCTGCATTTCTGTCCCAAAGAGCTGCTTCGGGCTTGAAAGTTGCTGAAAAGCATACTCAAAAGAATCGCTTCTGTGATGCTGCATGTTGAAGAGTTTTTGCGCTTTTGATGAGTTCGCTTGAATACGTTGAACGACTTGTCCGTCTCCCGAATCCGAGCTTTCCCGGAAAGGGAAGGACATCGTCGTGCGGTGGGTTCGACTCCAGAGGTTTCAGGCGGGTGGGAGGGTCTTGAGAGATGTCAGGCGGCGAACGGAGCGATTCCAGAGCGGATCATTATTTTCGTGGGAGAATCATGAGCGAATTGAAACAAATCGTTGATTGTAGACTCGTACCGATCCTCGAGCGTAAGGAGGACCCTCTCTGCTCGTATGGCTGCAGAAGGTAAGGAAGCCAGAAGTCTCTATCAAATGGGTTCCGGTGACGGTGTCTTACAAGATCATACAAACTGCCGACATTTGGGGTCTCCCTGCTCGTCGGCGCTTGATCCGATAATACGAAATATCACAGCTGAGATCCAATATGAGCTGCGCGCACAAAAGCATAGCTTCTAGCTTCAGAAAAACAGTGCCGACTATTCCATTTTTGATGCCATCTCCAGTTTCTCCTCGAACGAGGCTCATTGTTAGATATTTCATTTGTTAGACGCAGAGGAGACGCAGCGAGGGATCGGCTTCGGAAGAAGATACTTCTCTGAGCGCAAACCCAAAAAGAGTGAGTTCTACGACTGAGCGGACGAACGATTTTCCAAGGAGAATTCCACTGTAACTCACCCTTTCTGAATCCACGGTCGGAATATTGTTGGTGGCAGTCAACGGTTGCTTGGACATTGGAATCTGTATGGGAATATAGCTGCCGAAGAGTGGGGAACGGGACATTCGGGCGAGGTTGACGGAGAGATCGCTTTTTCCCAAGAAGAAAGGTGATCGGTTAATCACTGAGCGAGAACGGCGTAGCTTCACTAATGTGTCATGTGGTAACAACTAGCAGAATGGAAGGCATGATCAGTTTCGTACTTGTGTCTGGAATGTCTGTGGTCTACGTTCTCGTGTGCATTCTGAGATGATCCCATAATTCGTGGAATCATCTTATAGCTCCCTTGAATGAAGTTATTTGCATGCTCAAAGATAAACTCGACGACTCCTGCATCTCCGCGCCCCCATATCGATCTCGAGAGTCGAGAGCTCAGCGATGTTCCGGAGAAATAACCGCTTCTTCCATTCGTCAGGCGGAAAAGATCTGGAGAGAGAGAACGAGAAGAGTGGAGACGAATCGAAATCGCTCAGCAGCAAAGAAGTGAGTGCCCCTGCTGACGGATCTGTATTGGTCGTTCGTGACATCAGGTAAAGTTCAATAGACATGTGTTATAACTGGGGATCGTTCCCTCTTGAATAGGTGAGCTCACCCTCGAAGAGCGAGAAGAAGAAAAAGAAGAAGTCCGGAGGTTTGAGTACCGCATCGTTCTTCAAGAAAAGGAGCAAGGCCAAGGAAGAAGCTTGAGATCGAAGAACTTAAGTACCTCAGCGAGAGATAAAGTTATAATTGTCGTCATCGCAAATGAGGAAGGGGAACGAGGAAATTAGCGTTCGCAGTAGGAGTTTACGGTCCCGACATGGGAACTGACGACGGCAGCGGCGAGAGGGATACTCCACTTGGGAAATTTTGACTACTCCGACGCTCTCATTCTACACTCAACAATCTTCACACAGACCACCCACAGTAAATTTTCAGAGCACTTTTCACTCCGAAGTGCGTTCAAGCCGTTATCGATGACTGAAAGGAATCCTTTGCCACAAACTTCACCGCCGCCACTATGACGGGGAGACGGGAAATCAGCGACGAGCATCGTTCGTCCTCGAACGGAAGGCCGTCAGCGTCACTGAAGGGGGCCGTCCGTACGGATGGGGACGGATCCGACCTCGAGAAATAAGCTTGAAGGGGCTGCAAGCATATGAGTTGGGTTTTGAGAAACCAGTTGTGCACCGCATAATAGACCAAGTTGACAGAGGCCCGGGAACCCATCGAATTCGAATTTCTCTCATGAAGGAACGCAGCTCCGATTTCATCAAGTTCGCCTTCACGCCCGCTTTGTTCGGCATTCACATTGCGCAGTCTTGAGCCTGTATCGGAAGAAAGCTACCGCCGTCCAAAACACTGCCTGTGAACGCGCTCGACGAGGGCAAACGAGTCGAGCGGAGTGTCATCGCAGACTCGACACGGGTTCCTTCATTGCTTACGAATGTCTTTCTGATCGAGTGATGAAATCGTGGAGCTGCCGCGTCAGAGGCGAACATCTTCCGTCTGGTCTAAGGGGGAACATTGGAGAACGAGTCTGGACTCATGGAACATGTGCAGATGGTGCGAGATCGGACATACCCATGAATTTCTTGATCGAGAATGGCTTGTGGGATGAATGACTTCGGAGCGAATGAGAACTTTCATCCGGAGAGCAAGATACGATGAAAGGAGAGAAACGATCGATTACAGTTCCTTCTAATCACCAAACCTTCATTTGCCAGAGCGCGTAAGCGTGTTGAGCAAGGGATGGATTGAGACGGAACGCTGATAGGAACACAGATTGAGGACCGATTTTATCTTAAGCGGAGAAACTATGTTTATTTCTGCCAGAACTGCCTGAAAATATGACGACATGTGTAAGATGCTTTTACAGTCCTATATGCTATCTGCCGTGGTGAACAGTGCAACAAACTTTGCTGTCGTCGAAATCTATCTTTGTGTGGCAAGCACTTCGAGCTCTCCAATTTGATTTTGTTAAGACTGCGATCGAGAGAGTCGATTCATCAGATAACATTGATGATGAGCATCGAAATTAGCTAAGTAATAATAAATAATTAATATTGATCACCGTCAGCGTCGATTTCGTCACTTGATTAGGCCTTCATTCGATAGGAGCCGGAATTACGGAAGCTGTTGATCGAGAATCAGGCTGCAAGGTTCGATCGACGGGCTGGCTTCGATTGTCATCTACTACCTGGACTGAATTTAACGGATTTGTCGGCACTAGAGTCATTAATCATTGCAATCGAAAGCCTGCCGGCTCCAATCCGGAAGGAGTCAGATAAGCCTCTTGTGGAGCGACAGGTCAAAGCAGCCATGGCCGGGTGGAACTCGCCGCGGGGGAGACAGGCTGACGGAATAATAGCCGCAGTAAAACTCGCCCGAGAGTCGCGTTACATCGCGAATATGAGAATGATATTCTCGATACCATGCAGAGCCTTATGAGAGAGTCTGAGCCGTTTTGAAGTCGATCCGATTACCGGAACTTTATTGCTCCACTTCCTGTAAAGCTCGGGGACCGCTCGGGGTGTGCAGCCTGATGTTCTTTGTAAGGCTAATAGATGTCCTGTGTTGACGGTAAATTCCTTTATGCCAAGATTCATGCTAGTATCTAAGAGAAAAACGATGCGCAACCCCGCGGTAGATTGATTGATTGTTGTGTGCCGCAGAGCGAGTTCCGCAAAGCTGTTGCAGAACATACAACAAAAAATGTTACATGCGAATAAATCTACCTACTGAAATATGGAGGGAATCGAAGGGAACTCCTTCCTCGAGCATCTGATGGTGGTGATTTCTGTGATGGGAATGTGATCTGGAGGCTTCTGACATACCCACAAGGTTTTCGCCTGAAACAGTTATTTGGACGGCCCCGAGCAGGGGTTCTGGTTCGGGAGTTCCGGACAAGGATCATGATACTTCACGGTTGAGAATTTCCGCTTATCCAGGTCCCGGAGCCGTCCTCTGGGACCGCCGAGACGAGCTGGACCTCGCCGATATCTGCTGCAGGTAAGGATGAATTTGTTCGAAAAACTGCGATGAGCCACTGAATGGGCACTCGCCCCCTCCGAGAGGAACACTGGTCTAGACTAGACGAAAGGTGCCTGTATACATCCGATAACATTCTGAGTCTTTATTGTCATCCGCCGATGTCTCGAGGACGAGTTCCAAGTTCTACTTCATGAGCTTCTTCAGAGCAGCAATCATCAACCCGACGCCATCGTAGATTTCGTGGAACTTTTCGGTGTTGTACATGAAGGCCGGTGTTGTAACCACTAAGTTTGTCTCGTCGACGCAAACGTCACTCACTGTGCAATTTTCGTGTTTCGCCCCCCATGACTGAACAGCTTCGACAGAGCCAGCATAAGGCCAATTCCCATCGTCTTTATCCATACCAAGAGTGATTTTCACTCCACTGATGACCCTGGCAGCCAAGATGGGAGCAATGCAGCAAAATGCTAAGGGTTTCTTAGCTGACACGAATTCCTTGATAGTCTGTTCAACGAGAGGATCTACTTGGCAATTCGGACCGTCGACGGCGAAGGTCGATCTGCAATTTCGATGTGCAATTAGAGTAAGGAGGCGACGAGGTCAGGAAGCAGAATGTTCGATGACTGAGTCGCTATCATGTATTTGCCGCGAGGGCGAGCTTACAAGTTTTTCGCTACGCCGAAACCGCCCGGAAATACAATGGCGTCGACGTCCTGAACTCTCAGAGCGGATAGAGACTGAATCTTACCGCGAGCGATTCTAGCAGATTCGGAGAGCACGTTCCTAAAGAATCGAATTTCCTTCCGTCGCTTTAGAGTTCGTGGGTTGTAGATCGCAAGAGAAAGCTCAAGAAGAAGTAGGTACCTTTTCTCAGCTGACGGGTTCCCGCTAGCATGATCCACTGCGTGCATCTGCTCTCTATCGGGAGCGAAACACACCGGTTCGATTCCATGTCGTGTCAAATGACTCAGACAGCTGATAAATGAAGGGAACTTTTCATTCAGATTAGCGGGCTTTCTCCGCGCGCGCCCTCTGCTTCTTAGGCGGGCGGTTCCTCAGAATATCCTTCACCAACGACCGATCTGGTCACAGTTAGAGAGAGGGCGCTCAAAGAGACGATCTGGAACGACCGTGATCCTGATCGTGGGATCATTCGGCAGCGGTCGGCCAGAGGTGTGTCTCGAGCTTCCCTCTGTGCGGGGTGAGGGGGGGAAGGGGGACAGAGGGAATCGGGTCTCAGTGGAGACGATTCGGCAAAAAACTAGGTAGGCCTCGGCGACACGACAAGAGAGAGGAGAAGCAGCCCCACAGCAGCCCAGGCGGACGCAAACAGCAGTCGAATGAGTTTCTTGCGTCTCCAGTCGCGGAGTCGTATATACACAAACTCCGAAGTCTAGGGCTCAGAATGAGCAATACTCACGCAGATGCCTCATGAATTTCGCTTCCATCGTAAACTCCGGAGCCGGATAGAACCTGTTGGAGACCAACCAAACTTATTTAGGCTTGATGAAACCCGAGATGATGAACGAGATTGACTCAGCTCCAATTAACGGTATATACAGAATTTATTTTCATATTGTGGGGCCCGTCGAATTCGATTTGAACGCGTCAAATAGCATTCGGGAGACAGATCATCTGATTCATCGGCATCGAAACATCGTTTAGAAATCGGTCTATTAAACCCTGGGATCGCAACGCTCAATTGAGACCTGCAGGTCCCGGCAGCGAGTACGGATGTTGGAGCATAGTCTTCTTGACAGCTTGGTGTTTCTCCACCTGTTGGTATTCAGTCATCGGCTTATCGGCGATTCCACAAGTTCCGATACCGACTCGACCATCCACGGTTTCAGGTGTGGCGAAAATGCTCTTTTTCGTCACTCCCTTCTTCTTGTGCAAGGCTTTCATGTTGAAGCTCTGCCATTTGTTCTTGTCGGCCTCTCGTTGCTGCTCTATCTCCTTCAGTCTCTCTTTCTTCTTGAGGGCTTTCTGTTTCTTGTATTCCTTTTGAGCTGCCAGTTGAGCTTTCTTGCTTCCCTTCGGTATCTGGGCATCGCGGGGCCGGAGCTCGTTGAGATTGCACGTTTCGTGCGCGCCATACGCGTCGAAAGTCACAGTCGCCAGTCCATCTCCGGAGATTGACGTGACCGTGGCATCATAATGGTTTCCATCCTCGTTCCATGGAGCGAGAACTTTATCGCCGACTTGCCATTTGGCGACGCTGGAATTACCTTGAGCGGCCTCTCCCGGGCTCCCGCGACTTGTGGCTTGATCACCGAGCAAATTCCTTGTTAGAGACACAACTTCGAGTAGATCCTCACGAAGTTTCTTGAGATCGGGATCGTCGGGACTCGACGCAAGAGCGGCCTCTACTTGCTGCAGCTGAACATTGTATGTTTCTAACTGCGCCTGGAGCTCTCCTTTGTCCGCCATTCCTGATGCTCAATTCCGTGAACAGTCTCCTCACAATGCTCCTGATTCTCCTGATTCGAGAGATACTAGCACGAGATATCCGGCGGAGGAGCGCTTTGACTTCCCAGTTGAATAAGAATTGTCGGAGGCACGTCGTGAATCGAAGACTATTTCTGCTCTCTAAAACCTACGTACCACGGCAACCTTGTTCGATGCAAATCTTCTGGATAAATACGCCGCGCTATTTGTCAGCACTTTCGATGTCAGCATGGCAGTACTTGATGCTCTATGGACGAGTAGGGTACGTTGATTGCGAAAAGACGTCCGACCACCGAAGTAGCTTCTTAACCTCAACAACACTCGTTGTTGTTGTTGTTGAGGTTGTTGAAAACACACCGGATAGCAGACGGAGGAAATAATAATAAACAGTACTCCATATATATACGAGGAGGACGAGGAGTGAGGATTAAAAAAGGAGGAAAACCTCGATGTTAGTTATTCTTATGGGGCACGCTCGTTCCGGGAGGTGTAATGCCGCCCAGGGAGCCGCTGTTCCAAAAGTTAATGAAAATGTTCCCGACGTCATGGTGTCTCGCCACGCTGATGACCATGATCTCTACCTCATGAAAGTCAGCCCGTGAGAACACCTGAAAACCAGAGGCCGGGAGCTTGGAGCCATCGAGTATCTCAGTGATTCATTAGGCTACCTGATGCCGACAGCAGCTAGGTCTGGAGGCTCGAACGCGCGACCTCGCTGATTCCAGCCGAATCAGGATCGAGGTGTCCGCTGTGCGACATCCATGCCCGGGTGCGTTTCGCCTTTCGGTCATGAGGGATCCATCCGCGGCTGTACTTATGCTTCCGGGCATAAGGAAATCATCGATTAATTCAAGGTCATGAGGCGAAATCATAATTGAAAATAGCAAGTGATAATAGTCATTGAAAACAGCAAGCAAAAATGGCAAAATAGTAAGGTCGTTCCACATACCAGCGAAATTCCTTCCGAAAATGCCGGAAATCGAAGTGGTAAGCGACGTCAGAGAAAATGTATTCGAAATCGAGGACAGAACAGTAGGGGGATCGATGTAAATCAAAGATATATGGTCTCGCTGCTATCTCCATCGAAGTCCCAGTTCGCTCGATGATCCTCAGAGAAGTTCTTCAGTGGCTCGTCCTTCACGAGAAAGACGACAATGGAAGGGATAGGGACCGGTGACATTCCCTTTCAGGCACTTCCCAAAGGGGAGCAGCCTCCCACAAGACAATCCAGGATGTGTACCCAGAAGATTTGTACCGCGTAGCCTAACACCTGGACATCTAACCCCTATTCGATCTCATTCAGCAACGGCTCGCTGAGATGACCGAGTATATGTCGCTCGACAGCAAATCGATGTTCTTAGGAGTCTGGCGATCGATTCTCTCGGTTCTGTACCAACAGTCGGAAGCAATTCGAACAAACGGCGATCACCGTGAGAATCTTCGCTACCTTCCTCCGTGCCCTGTGCCCCGAGCCTCATTTATCGAACACCCTGCTCCCTTGGACTTGTGTCCTGTAATTTCAGTTCAGACGAAACTTGGAATAAGGATCAGTTGAAGATCGGACGGAAGATCTGTTTCCGCTTGATGCGCCTTCCGCTCGACAACTGGGATGGCTCGTATATATCGGAGGCAAGTACTCGAAAGGGGAACGAGCGCGTGTGATTCCTCTTGATACAGATAAGTTTGCCTTTAGTATAGGATCGATGTTTTCCTGATGGGGTCGAAAATCGATCCGTGACGATGATGAAACGCGCCGAAGAACCTTTTCCTTCACAACCCGCGAAGAAACAAGCAACGGAAAGATTATCCCTGAAGAAGGCGGGAACCGGAGCAGGCTTTCCGAAACCTGGAAGTCTCATCTTGACCCATCGTTCTCTGACGGCCTAATCAAGTCCTTAACTCAATACGACCCCTGGAACTCGAACCCTGGTCTGCAAAATGTATTTTGTATTCATTTGCGGAGATGGAAGTCGCCCCGCAGGCCCTGACACTCTTTGTAAGCAAGAGGGGGTATGATGGCGGGGGCAGCTAGAAGGCGGAGCCGACGGGAGTCAAGACTTACCACCAGAGCTGTGCGCCGCGCCCCGAGATCGCCGGCGATCGTCGCCGCCGAGCTCTGAGCTCCGCCGCCGCCGAGCTCTGAGCACGGCGTCCTTCTGAGCGCGCCGTCATGATCCCCATGGTAAATAGTCAAGAGACCTTTCGAAAGATTTCGGGAGACTTCCGGAGCGAATCGAGGGAATACAGAAGAAAATGTTCATCAAAGTCAAAGGAAGAGAACCTGGGCCGCGCTCGATGTGCTCGCTTGATGATGAGAATCGTGGACGACACCTCATCTCTTCCGAGAATCGAGACGATCCATAAGTTTTTCTGTCGACTCCTCGCCGCACATCGAGAGACGAAATAGGAATGACGAGCCTGCCGTCTTGTCTTCTCATACCCGATAATCGAGAGTTCTTGCAGGATAAGTGACTTAAGAATGAATGAACCTAACTTGTGCTCGCTCTTCGATTCCTACTTTCGCCATTCCGAAGCTTACTCCCTCTTTGGTGCCCTAGCTCGCTCCTACTTCCCTCATGGAGCTCGCACCGGGTAAGAGAGAACCGCGGCGCGCCGTGAGTCTCAAGTCCGCTGAAAAACGCCGCGGCGTCCGCCGCCGCCGCCTCTTTCTTCGCCTGTCGCCGCCGCCGGGAAAAAATTTGATGGCGCACAGCACTGCTTACCACCCACACAGAAATATCAGGTGGGGAAGTGAGGGCGAAGGCAAACAGATTGCTGATGCTGAGAAAACGAGGCAGGAGAATCGGTTGACGCAGGATTCGGGCGTTGTGAGGAAACTGTGAGTAGAGCGCAATTAAGATACCGGGGAGCCTCGTGGAATACCACCGATGGGCTGAAGACTATCATCGAGAGCGTTCGGTAGAGGACGAAGACGGAAGGCAGAGGGCTAAGGAGAGTAGCCCCACATAGAGAGACAGCGGACAAGCGCTGAGGAAAAGGGACTGAAAAAACACAGAAAGAATTGGTCGAGGAAAACCTAGTCTTCTGAGTCGGTACAGGCAGAAAACAAGGCCTGACAACCTTGGGTATAGAGCAGCGATATGACCGCTCCAGGTTAGCAAGTCTTCGACAATCACCTCCAAACACGGAGTCGATTGAGAGAAATGGGGGCTTATGTGACAAAACTTGATTCGTGCTTGTAGTCCGTGAGGGCAAACGGGGACTGCTAGCCTAGCTAGCCTTTGACACCTAGGTGGTCGAGTGTTCGATAGAACTCTGTCGATCTCACCTGTTCATGGGCATCATCAAGAGGAGAGCATCGAGCGGAAGATTCAACATTAGTAAGAGGATCCGGCGTCGAATCGCACGGTGGAAACGGCGAGTCGTACAACTAGTATCGAGGAAGAGTGATCTGATGATCTGCAGCGGAAGATGATTTCGATTGCCAACTCGACACCGACTCAGAGTGCCCGATTCTCGAATTCCCGACTCTCAGACGAGAGAGGGGTCAAGTTGGGCGAAGACTGGAGACTGACAGACTATGCCTCGTGAGGAACACTAATAGGAGGAGGGTACCCACCGACCCGAGTCGGGCCTACTCTCCTGCTTAGGAGGTGTCCACTGCCCTCCTAACGGGTCTCAGAGCCGAACAGCCTCCCGAGATGTCGGGCAAACTAAACGAGATCGCTTCAGGAGCAAGGTGAGCTGACGGTGGGGTGGCGAGATATCTCAGCATTGTGTTCTCCTCCTTTCATTCACTTTCTCCCTCCCGAATCCGGGGAACCTCCGCTTCTGGAGATTCTCCCAAGTACTCCCGTGTTCGCGGCAGACGTAACAGCGAAGAGCTGTCAGTTATGAATTATGAATATGAATATTGGCGCAGCCAAAAAAGCACGTGGGCTCCTAATCTGTCCCGCTCGACAAGAGTAGAATAATCCGGTTTACGAGAGCAGAACTACACAATGGTTCGCCATCTCCCTTTCTGAATCTGATCCCGCGCGGCAAGTCCTTCGAAGCCATGATCTCATCGTCAGCGGCAGGACCCCAATATGGATGATCAGAGATCACCGACATCATTGTTCCAAACAACCCAGGCCAGGCCTGCGGGACTGCGGGGAGACGAGACGACCAACGACGACACACAGTTGTTGGTCTTTCGGAAACAAATCGCTTTACCGCTCTCTTAACGGCTCCTCCGAAGCCGTGAGACGCTTCGACTCGTCATCTTTCATCCCCTTTCATGGCAAGAAATTCCTCCCGCAGAAAAGAATGAGCGTACACAATTCGTGGCGTATTGGGAGCTACAGAGGAGGCCGCTCCCTTCGGCGCGCGAATTCGAACGTATCAAGTAACGAGCGGTGACGAAGTTCACTTATTCGAACGAAAGCCTCGGGAAATTCGACGTTCGGGGAATGAAGATATCGTCGACTCATCTCAGGCCGGGGACGTCCGGCCCAAACCCGGCTCCGAAAATCTCGAAGTTTCCGGGTCCGTTCGGCAGGAGCGGTCCCTTTGTTTAGCTTGGATCGCTCATAGTCCCGCAGCAGAAGCAAGTGCTCCTCTGCGGCGACGACACGACCGACCGCGACGACCACCGGCAACATTGCCGTCATAACAACAATATCACTCAAACTTGAGCAAAGAGAGTGAAGTGCCGCTCAGCCAAAAGAATTCGACTGAAGGAACAACATGAGGAGTATCGAAGGATCTTCGTGACGCACGAGCACGGCTCAGTCGATGACATGTCAGACGTCACCGAAGAGAATCCGACTCCCACTGTCGTAAAAGTGAGCCCCAGACTCATTTCAGGAGTGCTCAACGCGAACAACAAGGATGCTGTCGACTGGTAAGGCAATCTCTTCGGCCCACGACGAATATGACCATAACCGATGATCACTGGCTTTAGAAACAGCTGTACAGCATCAGGTGGAAGATCATGTCTGTCTCCCTCCATCTTGACAGCTGCTCAGAGCTCCTCTTGTAGCCTGGCCATGATCCGACAGGTCGAGACGTTCGTCTCCCCATGGTTTGAAAGTGTTTTTGAATGTGTTACAGGAGCCCGCATGGACTCCTGGCTTATGGCAGTCAGAATAACATAGTCGTTGTGGGATGCGGCGGAACAGCCCTGGTCCAGACCCTGCATGGCGGGCAGAGACACGACATAACGAGAATCCGTTGGTCTCGTCATTTGCATTACCACGACCGTGTAAGTTGCCGTGAGCTTGTACGAAGACATTCCCTGCTATTCCCCGGAACCGCGTCTAACCATCCTAATGCATTTTGATGTCCTCGTATTTTGCAGGTGCGACCTTACAACCTCCGATTAGCGGCAGCCGATCTCGGCGGAGTGGTCACGGTTTGGAATGTCGCGAGTGGAGACATCAAGGCAGAGTTGGCTCAGCCGGGTCACAAAACCATCATCGGTGAGTTCCCAAGTCGAGGAATAGCGGCTCCTGAACTGTCTCCCCCAGAAGTACCGAGAGAGAGAGAGAACTTCGACGTCGCGCTCAATATTTGCAGACATGCACTGGATGGCATTCAACGATGCTTCATATCCTCTCCTGCTCGTATTGTACGATCAATCGCTCCTCTTGCTGTGGGACACCGAGCGCGAAGTCCTGGTTTGGAGGAAGGACTTCGGCAAGAAATCAATGGCAGATTCACCGCATTCAGCGTCGACCCTTTCACCGAAGCCGCTGTAGCTTGTAAGGGGTCCTTCTGCAATGGGAATTCTTTATCGCACACAAGAGAACTGTATCGGACGACGGAATGACATTTTGGCTTTTTCCGTGATAGTTGTCTCGAGCGAATACATCTGGCTGCTGGATGACCTCACTCCAGCAAGACCGCCACAGAATCCCCTGAAGAGATTGGGGATAACCATCCCCCCGGCGCCAGGGACTGGGAGCGCGGCCCAGACGCCGACAGAGAACCCGCGGAAAAGCAGGTTGCTCAGTGGTACGTTCGTCAAGCGTATTCCTCAGGATTCATTCACTTGAGCCAGCTTCCAGACACTCACCAGAGCTTGGTACCTTCTCCTAGGAATGCAAGCCATGTTTCAAGGTGGAGCTACGAAGGGTGCCCACAGCAACGTTCGCGACCATGAGGCAGACGAACGCGACGGTGCTGAGTGTCTGAGCATGATGCACTCGGCCGCTTTCAGGGATCATTTATTCTTCGTTTATCAGAGGCACATTGTGATCGTCGACATCTGTATACAGCAGGTTAGTCGACGAATGACCTCAGCATGCTGCAGCGAAGCCTCCGTCGTTCCATGAAGATCTATTCATACGATTACGTTGAGATTCGTTGTCCGTCCTCCCCAGGTCATTGGCACAGTACACACCGAACGCAACCATATTGGATTTTTCGCTGTCCGAGAATGTCGCAACACCGGTAGGCTCATATGTCTTCATGAGACCGGAGTTGTAACAGTACGCCAGAGGAGACCATGTGATACAAGTCAAGGTGAGCCATGACGATCACAGCTCTCGAGGAATCTCGGGGGCTGATTCTTGTCTGGAATCACGTGTACGCTCCCTACCGAGATTGTGACCCCGAAATCCTTTTCCAGAAAGTCGGAAGAACTCTGAAATGAGCTACCCAGCCAACGAAATACGCCACGACCACGACATCCAATACGAGCTTGTATGCTCTTCAGAAGCTTATCGAATGATCCATAGAAACTCGAGGATTGTGGCCTTCGCGATCTCACCTGTGGAGGACTGCAGAGCAGCTGTCGTACTCATGGATGGCAGAACTCTCTTCTACCAGTTGCGCGAGAGAGCGGTCGATTCCGCCGCGGTACGCTATCTCCGATTACTATACCGAGAGCGTCCGCGCCATATCGCCACCTCCTTCCTCATTTGATCAATTGCAAGCATGTTTCCGAAACGGACTTGATTTTCGCGCTGCAGGAGAAACCGCGTTTCGTCATTTCGAGCAATTTCGAAGCCTTGTCAACCGTGCCTCACTGCATGAAAATGTGCCCTCCAGTAACATTCAAGAATTGGCGGACTTATCGACCTTTGTTGGCGTGCGCGGTCGCCACAGGAAACATCCAGGTGGTCAACGTTGCAACGGGGCAGGTGGAAAGGAACATCTGTGTGCATACGACCCCAGTCAGGGGGATCGAATGGACAAGTTTGACGAGTTTCCTGTCGTTCGCCAATGCCACCCTGCAGGCAAGTTCTTCAGATATACTGCTGAATTCGATTGCTGCTCGATACTGACCATAATTGTACCCTGCCTTACTATTTATAAAACATTTGACTCCTCGCCCTCAGGTCACTGCTCAGCAGAATAGCAATGTGAAGAACGAGTTGTTTCTCACTGAAGTGACGTCAGGGCGAGTGAAACAGCTCCGAACGGACAGAGCCGACGAGAAACCCATAGAACTCCTTGCTGTCTCCAAGCATGGGTACGCAACGACTCTCTCTGACGAGCTCTGACACGGTAGTGCAGGAGTTCGCTTCGGCTATTGATATTTACGCCTCTCTCTTCCCAGACAATACTTCATCGTAGCGTTCAGAGACCAGCCCTTCGAATTATGGGATCTGAAGAGCTCGACTTTACTATCCACGGTGTCGCAGGATTTCAAGAGCATAACTTGTCTGGAATGGAGTCCCAAATCGGCGCTCAAGAGAAAACACAGGTAAGTCAAGCTCAGTGCACAAGGCGGACCAGCTGGGGACTCGATGGAAGACTCGGACGAAGAAATAAGTTGTTTTGCAGTGAACAAGGCGATGAAATTTCGAAACAGATCGATCCGATCTTCTTGAAGCCTCTCGCGAATGATATCAGCGATGAGAAATCCTCTCGAAGCTTCATCAAAGAGCACTTTCTCGCCGTAGACTCCCAGAGTAAGGTACGCCCCGAGACAGTCGATCCTGAATGAGGAGCAGAATTATGAGATGTCGGCTTCGATGAGAGAATATCCAAACTGACCTGAGTCTTCTCCCAGGTGTGTTTCTTCACCGTTGAGGGCTCGGTGCTCAAAAGTAACATGCGGAACCTCGTACCGGTATCATCAGCTATAACCTGCACCGCTTGGAAGGCGGATAAACTCGTCCTCGGCGACCTAGACGGAAATTTGAGTTTATGGGATATAACGACGAAGAAAAGTGAAACCACTCCGAGTCAGAGAGGGAGCGTCAAGAAAGTGGCGTTCGCACCTGGTCGGGGGAATATGAAACTCATAGTTCTCTTCGTTGACGCGGTCGAGATCTGGGAAGCGACCGCCGACCACACGGTATGTTTCACAAACTTCGTGCCTCATTCTTTTCGCCGTCTGGCTCTCCTCCTAATCACTCTTCGTTTCAATGAAAACAGATGAATCGGCTTGCGTCGCTGAGAATTGGCAAAGGCGAAATCTGTCATGTTGACTGGGCCGATTCCGTTAGTCCGTTATTGGGTTGGATCAACGGCAACATTTCAGTAATGGACATGGAGCTGAAACAGTCTTCAACGCCGATCGCTGAGCTTTACTTCGAAGGTTAGAAGCGAGTACACCGAATCCGGATATCGCACAGCGCTCTAGACATATGTACGTACGCTTGACGCGAGTTGTCTCTTTCCAGAGATGCCTTTCTTACCCTCCGTCCTCAACCCGAACTCGACTTTCCACTTGAAGTCTGTACTGCAACACCTACACAAAGATGCTCGGAACTCCGATGTCTATGAAGCCATGAAAGACTTCAAGCTCCGCGAGGATACCGCCCTGGCCCGAGGAATGTTGGCTGATCTCGACCCCGATATCTGGGATGATCTTTGCAAGTCTCAAACCGCACATAAAGCATATTTGATTGCTCAATTATTCGGCGATGAAGAAGCGATCCGTTTCTGGACCATGTTCAAGTCGAAAACCGATCAATCGAAACGTCTACCGACATCATTCGACCTACTCCTCGCTCAAGACGAGTACCGGGAACAACAGCTCGAAAGAGCTCTGCTGCACGAGAGCAAGCGTGGTAGCACTTACCAGCTCACCCAGTTATGCGTCGATGAATTTCTTCTCCTCGGCGACGCTGATCGAGCGATGCAATTGTTATTGGAGACTGAGCCTCCAAACGAATTGTTCACGCACGATGCCTTACGGTGAGGTTCTCGATGAAGCTTCCGATTCGCCTGATCTATCTCATGAGGATGAAATCGAGAACGGAGTACATGAGCTAGCCAGCTGCATAACTTCATATCGATTGCGTATCCACAGCGCGTGCCTGATTGCCTGTCTGAAGAAAGAGAATAAGTCTCAGTCGGTCGTCAAGCTGGTAGCAACGAACCTGATAGCTTCCGGGAATACCGAACTCGGGGTGCAACTCCTCTGCGTGATCAATAAGGCTCTCGATGCCTGCAGGTACTTACAGAGTAATGGACAGTGGGATAAAAGCATCTGGCTCGCCAAGGTAAGTCTTTTCGTTCGTGTCTTCGAGTCCGGAATGGCCCGGAATAACATATCGATGCCCTCGTGAAGAATTTTCTCCATAAGAGACTCTTTGCAGTGCTCTCTGGTGAAGGAAGAAGTAAGTGAAGTCGTGATAAAATGGGCGGATTATCTACAACTCGTGGGAACGAATCAGCGCTGTCAGTCCGCGCTGGCTCTCCTATCAATCGGTGAAATCGTTCGCTGCGTCGAAATGCTGGCCTCGAATCAGATGATCGAACGCGCCGTCCTGCTTTCAGAAGCCGCCGCAGATGCCGGCTTTGAACTCGTTTGGGAGAAAGCTAAAAGTGAGTCTCATCAACTCGTGATTCCCGGAGCGGAGTTCTCGCGGCATCGATGATAGTTTCTAATGAGTTTCCCCGTCTTCTCACAGAGGAATTCCGCCCCCCTGGACTGTATTTGACGTATGCTCGTTATTTGCATGCGATCGGGAATTCGGAGATGGCGCTCACCTATTGCATGAAGGCCTTGGACATTCCAGAAGCAGAGGATCTTAAGAAAGAAATCGAAATCTTGCTCGACGACGCCGCTCACAAGCCGACACAGAACTTGACGAGACCTCGGTCGTCCCTGTTAGACGAAGACAAATAATTATGAATTGACCAATGATTAGAGAAATGAAGCTATATTTTTTGATAGATCCATGTGGCCGATTTTTTCATCCATGATCCGAACCATCGGCGGTGCGGCTCGGAGGGGTTTTCGGCCCGTTCCGGACTCCGACTTTTCGCTCAAGTTCAGTTTTTTTCAATGAAGCTCCATCTTGACTCCCATTGGTCTACAGAAGGTGGAGTGAAGGGTTAGGGGAATCTTGAAATTCGGGGAAATTGCGGAGCCGAGAGCTCTCAATTGAGGTTCCTAATCGCCATTCTGGATTTGACGCGCCGCTGCTAATTGACTCCGAATTTCGGCAACGAATCGAAGCGACGGTTGGTACGCTATATATATACATAAGAAAAAACGTGGAACAAACTTCGGGAGAGCCTCTGTCGAGATCAGGTCCCTGATGGGCACTGGATCGATCCCTCATCGAAGCCACCTTTTCTGTGGTCTCGGTGACGGGAATAATTGAGAAATTCGAATCATGATAGCATATGTCAATGATGAGCTCCACCTGATTTCGATGATAGGGACTCGGGCGACTGAGCGCAACGGTCTGATCCACGGAAACCTCGAATCGCTCCGGGATCGAGTGGGTGCATCATCAGAGGGCTCCGCAGCGCCCGCATCCGAGTGTGAGGCAACGCGGAATCGTCATGAATATCAATCGCCAATTATTTCCAACTGAAAATCTTTCGATGAGCATTGGCAACACGATGTAGATCGTCGTCGACGAAGAACCAGTACCGAGATCATTCTGACATACAAAGGAAAGCCCTCTCTTCGACACAGGCCCTCTACAGCGGGCGTCGGTCCGAAGAGAAGCTCGGGCTCGCATTGTTCCACGCAAAGGGGTCCTCGCCACCGAGCCTAATTGAATCATTATCCCATCCTCGCTTCATCTGATCATCAATGATTATCATCTGGAGCGGGATACTGAGTAGGAAGGTGAACTTTGTTCTTCGCCCTTAGCTCGTTCTCAGAGCTCCCTGCTTCGTTGTGTTGGATGGCGCGCATCCGCTATCAGAATCACCAGGCATCGTCAATGGAAAGCAGGCTGCTGAGAAATGTACATACTCGTTTCTGAAACCGAGGATGCGGGTTACTGCTAGTATTATTCTATTCCGTCGCTTACCGTCGAGAGACCCCGCCCCGCTCCAGCCTTCATTGACTCGTAATTCTTCGTGAGCCACGAAGAGCCCCTTGCATCTGATTACCTACTTCCCCTGTCGACTGCAGGAAACTCGTCGGGGAAAGCCGATAGATGGGCCGAGATCGTATATCAATTATAATATTGGCAAAAGTTCAGCAGAAGTCGTCTTAAAGCCTGTCCTGCAGGGCCTACCGAGAGCTGATTGAGGAGGGGCGACCGAAGGCGGATCTTGTTATGGACAATCTTCACGCTCTACGGGAATCCCGGACTTCACTGGTTAGGTACCGAGACAGAAGTAAGGTGACGGGATGGTCTTGTTCAGGGCCTCGGAAGTTGCTCGAAAATGTCGGTAGAGACCGGAGAATGATTGAGGAATCATCAAAGGCGACTCCGAAGTTGAGTGAAATATTTATTGATTTTCAGAGCTCGGGGAAATCGTCGACCGCGCCAATTTTCCTTTCATGGCTCGCTGGAGACTAGGAGAGGCCCCCCACAGGAACTCACGATTTGTAAAGCCGCTCAACTTGAAGTGCCTTCCAATGGAGAACAATGTACTCCAAAATGAGTACAAGTTGAGAGAATAGTTTTCTCCGTAGGTATCGAATACAGTAGACTTTGGCTGCCGCGCTCATCTTCCTTGAGGAGCCTCCTCCCGCGGCCAGGAAGCCAGAAAAAAGAAGGAGTGGCACGGTCGTCGATAGATTTCACGAATACCATGGATCGATGATCATCTCGCTCCCTGGTGGTGTTCGGAAAAACAAGATGCGCAAAAAGAAGCTCTCGTCCTTATATCCCCTATGCGAGCCCGCTAGATTCTCTGCGACTGATCGTTCTAAATAAATAAATGTCTGAGGGTCGATTTCGCGCATCCAGGGGTCTGATCAGAAAGCCACAATAGTACCCGAAGAGGCTGCACGAAGGCGCCCGAAAATCACGTGGCGATATCTCTAGATCAGGATTATATCAAAGACAACATCAAGCCTTGAGCTGAGAGCGGGCACATGGGTACAGCGGACCTGGAAGTCGCCGCTGCAGGCCGACCTCAAGTCGTCATTCTTTCAAGTATTTCTCCACGGAAATCGTGCTCAGAATTACGATTCGGAACCGAGACGAACCGAACTCCCGGATTGGCCTGCACTGGTTCACAAGAGTCATCGCTGGCAGAGGCAGGATATTGATCCTAATTAGATGAATTTTGGAGAGGAAAACTGATAGGACTCATAATCGGTCATTGATCATCCGCCCCAGACAATTCGACGAAAGAGCCGAAATCCGTATACCAGAAGCAGAAGCAGCTGATTCTCTCCCGCGATTCCTACTGTCGGATTTTTGAGAGCAGTTGACCCTTCTTCCGGACATCCACGGCTCGAATCTTCCTCGTGAGTCATCCGTCTGCAAAGATCGGAGAGTCCAGCTCTCCACCAATCTAATTAGGGGGACGAACTTCGTGCATCAGGCGAGAGTTATAGCGTGGAGTCTCCCCCGACTCCTGGATGCCCAAGCGTACTTCTCGATGAGGCCGATGGGACGGACCCAATACTTGTTCGGAGACCGGCTCAAGAAACTTTCTCCTTCGATTCCCCAGACAAAGTCCTCCTCATGAGAAGAGAAGCGATGTCCGAGGGAACGACAAGTCGCCTGCCAAGAGTCGGATCTCTGCAAGAAGCCGCGGCGGCGATTTTCGGTAGGGAGGCAGAGGAATCTGCGGATGTTCGCAGACTTGACTGGAAAATCGCCGCGAAAAGTTCACAGCCCCACTCACGAGAAGTCTGAGAGGATTGCGTAAGCTCTTCGAGAAGGATGAACAAGAGTGATTAGTAATCAGATATGTGTGAGTCGAAGTGACTTCAGCAGGAGCAACACATGTGACTGCTGCGGATAGGAACTTTTGCAAGCTGGCGTTTCGTTTCTCCATCCAACGACGATGGTTCCCGTGAACGTTTCTTGACCCCTGCCGACTTGCGGTTCAGCTATTTGTGCCTGGTTTGAGCTTCATCTCTGCTCAATGGGACCGATAGGTAACTTATCGGGTAACTGGCGAACGGCGACGAACGAACCGAGTAATTTCACCCGACTGAATCCGGATACATTCTCGTTAAGTGAAGAACCGCGCATACAAACACTGAAAGCAAGTGAAAGGGATCGCCTGATATAGCAACACTGGTGCTTTCGACGCTCAAAAATCGCTTGAATGGGAAGAATTCTTTTTCGACATGAGAGTCAAAGCTGACCTTTGACCGACCAGGGACTCCAAATGAAGTTGTATCTCGCGGATCATGCATCGGCATCCCATGTTATTTCCCCAACATCCGTCCGTGTCCCATATATGTAGGTGTTCTCTTTAGAGTCTAGAGAAGCGTACGCCTCGCGCGAGGATGTTTCGACGGCGCCAGGGAGTCTTTCGATTTTCTAGGAGTAGAATTAATCATGCCTCCCCTCGAACGGAACCTGAACAAGAACGCTCGAGGTTCGAGAAATGTTGCAAGATATTAGACACCCCTCAAAAAGCAAGGGTCGTCGCTTCGGGTAGGTATGTGGAGGTCATCGACCGAGCTCAGTTTCTGGAGGATATTCGAAGATCCAGATGATAGATTCACCCTAGAATCATCACAATGGCATCAATCCGGTCCTTTCAGGAGACAGGCACACAAGAATGATGGATGAATAACATCTTGCTCAGCCTCAATTCCAAAGGTTGACTTTCCTTCTCCCTCCCTCCCGCCGAGTAAGGCAACGTGACTCGATTTCGCTCCCGGAGGGGGGGCCGCCGATATCCGCATTGTGCGAGCCACTTCTCCAGAGGTCGATTGTTTATCTCCGTCGTAGCCCGCGAGCTCAAGCTCCGCCCTAAATGATAAGAGCAGACCAAGGTCGCGACACCCGGGTAAAAATACTCCGCATGATGAGCAGAGAGCCCGCATCGCCTCTGCCCGATCTCATAGCGAACAAACTATTCCTGTTGCGAAGAAATCTCATCCTCGTGAGGATATCGATGATTCATCCGTTATTTGAATTAATTTCCAGACTCTAATTCATTCTATTATTGCTACCACGCTATTGTACAGTTGTAGCTCTAGGTGATTCATATTCATTCTCAGAGCGTCCAGCAAGGCTCATATTCCACATGAATCTCTACTAAACGTAGTCCTCACCTTCTAAGTCTACTTCTATCCCGCCCCCACCCCGTGAATCCCGACATCTGGAATGCCTGCTCCACTCATGTCTCCCCTTCGTCGTATGATCCTGAACTCTTCGAGTCCAACACTATGCGCTCTCTGCTCATAAGTGAGTAGCCTTGGGTGCTTTCAGTGGACATTTTTCAGGTGAGCCCACGCTCCAGCGGAATTTTTCATCCCCCGTGGACGTGCATCACATGATTTCCCCCCCCTCATGAGTCTTCTACGTTCTTCTCGGGGCCCTGTTCACTCGAGAAGTATGAGGTCACCCCTTTATGAGTCGCCTTATGCGAAAAAATTGATCGACCGCCAGGGATTTGGAGGCTCATCAAGAGATTGTTCGGAATCATCATCGCCTCCAACGGAGGACCTTTAGTCAGTGACTACTATGTACCCTACGCCGCAACTCGGAAACGATGGAGCGCAGATACATGACTCGATCTGGATGCCCTCGCGCTGAACGGCGCCGCGGTGCCAGCACTTTGCGCACGAGGTTTGGATGTGTCGTCTGGGATCCGGTTGCGTTTACCGAGCTTGACTAACGGTGCAGTCGCTTCAAGAGCTTGGATCCTGTCACTGTATGATCCCTCACTCACAATTCCTCAATTCTCTTTCTTGGTGAGCCATGTATAGGATTCCGTTTTGCGGAAATCGTAGGCGACCGTGGGCAAGCCCGACCGAGGGATCGAGCCTCATGTCAGACCTTGACTTCAAGAACCCTGAGAGAACGAAACTTTGACTCCTCAAGTACACCGTGAGTCAGGCTCCGCGGTCGAGTGATTGGCCGATCGCCCAGCTTTAGGAGGGAATCAGAGAGGATCGAGATCCTTCTTCGGTCGTTGTAATCTCGGAACGGCGGGGAAGTCCATCAAGATTTAGGCGCGGATATACAGGGGCGCAGGGGGGAGGGCTGGTCAGGACCACCAGAACATTCTAGAAGTTACTGGTGATCTTCGTGCTGCCGCGACCCGCATGGGCTCTGACCACAGGAGCTGTATGATGACGATTCTAGAGATCGCTCGCGAAGAACACGCCCATACCCCTGGTCACTGCTGCGGAAGACAGCCATGAATCATCGACGGTAGAGACGTGCTCGGAATCGCGCGGCTTCGAGCGAAGAGTGGCGTCGCTGTACCTATGCATCTTTCTCTTTTCGTTAATTTCAGCCGTCAATCGATTTCGATCGCGTGAGAATTGGTCTCTCTCCGTCAAATTCGAACGATTCTTCCCGAACTGTGACGTCAAAACAACATCCAAGTATTGGCCAGGAACGCCTCGAAAAGCGTTTCTGGGCAGGAGTGGCTATTGTGAGAAGCGGCCAGGAAAATTCGGACAGGTAGCTTGATGGGATAATGGTCTCGAGGTTTGATTAGAGCTGCTCAGACACATCAAAAAGCGAATCCCGAATCGAAAACCGATACATCAAATCAAAGAAGAAGAAAGTGATGGCTTGATCTCGAAGTTTTTGCCGGAGCGTTTGCACAGCGTAGACTCCTGTTTGCTCAACGACGGGCATGGTACAGGAAGTGAAGTTCAACAACGGTGGAAGGCGGTGGAGGCCGTCGGTGGACTTATGCGACATTTATTAAGTCCCTGTCATTCGCTAGAAACCGCCGAACAATGACAGAAGATTTGCAGTCTTGTCGCGACAGGAGCGGCCACCGCCGACGAGCTCTCCTCTTTTTTCTGCACCCCGGCATCGTATCGAATGATATTGTGGCGATTCTCGTTCCTTTTCTTGACTGTCTGTCGGACTGACTCTGTGGCTCGTCTGAGAGCCGCTTCGATATGTCCTTGGCGCTTACCAGGAGGAGCAAATACCTGCGAATATACAATGTTATTCCATTCCCGCCGGCAGGAATCATTGCGAGCGAGCCAGCCATTTCACTGCGGATACGCTTTTGGAAAAAAACCCCGCTGACAGCTTCGCCCTTCTGGCGGAGACAGTATCGCTCATTGCGCAGCATCGCTCAAAAGCGGCTCGGAGTTCCGGATTGACAGCTCAATCCCATCGGGCCTTGCATGGAAACTTAGAGCGCAAGCTTCGAAACTTTCGGAGGATCGATGCGTATACGTGAGGGGAATACGATCGAGCGGACTCGAACAAGATTTACGATTTCTCGAGGCGGCCCATGGCAAGTCGCTAAGAGTTTCTGATGACGTCGGAGTTAGCGAACATGAGCGCCCAGGAGGATTCTGTCGCATGCACTCCTTGCTTCACCGAAATATATGATATCCACAGAAAGCAGATCATCAAGTCGGAGAAAAATCGCTTTGAAATTCGGAGAGACATCCGAAAGTATTCTGAATCTTCTGAGTATCTTACGAACATCTCGCTCAGGTTGCACGATCCTGCATCTCATATCGCAGCACAGAAAGACTTAAAATCTTGATGATACCATCGGAAGGTGGACAACATGGCGGCTTTCGGATCTGCGGAGATAATGATGCGTTTGGCTTCCGCCAAAGCGTCCCGAATACCGAACGGTGTAATATGGTCTTGCAACACGGAATGGTGACCGAAACCCGTAAACATTACACACATTACGGAACGGGAGGCAAAATTCTTCTGCCTCACAGTATCGTTCGTTGTTCATTTGTACGTCGCGGAGCGCTCTCGAACTCTATCTCCCGAGCTTTTCCCTGATTCTCGCGGTCAGAGCCCGATTCTCTGATTTCCCATTCCCGTCGTTCCAGCGAAGTCTCTAAGTGGTCTCTAATGCGGAGTAATTCGGACGAGCGACGTACATCTCGATAGACGGATAGCCGAGCGATGAGAAATATCTCGAGTACAATCACGGAAATTCTCCCCTGGAGACGATACTTCTTTCGGGCATTTCTTCTTCCGTGCGGTAGTGATGACTACGATATGAGCTTATGAATGTATTCAAAACGATTCCGAGGTACAGGAGACGGCTCCAGAGACAGCTCCGCACTTTCGGAGTAGCGCGCCGCGACTCCTAACCACCATTCCCTCGACATCGAATAAGCTGAGTGAGCTGAGTGACCTGTGCATTACCTTCAAAACCGGCGTCGCCCGACGGTGTACTCCAAATTCCGGGCTGACGTTTTCCGCGGCGGTGCCACGCTGAAGCTGAACCGTTGTTTTGAAACTGAAAGGATCCATTCAGTTCAGAGCCCGGATGATCCTCGCGCGGTTTTTCATGACGGTCAGGGAAAAAGTTCCAATCCACGTTTGACCAAATTGAGCGAGTCGTTGGGATAAAGCCATGAAATCACTCGCCGGGCATCCGCCTTCCTAAACCAAGTTCCGGAGCTTAGCGTGAGACGGTCGCCGAGGTTGAAACTCTTAATTTTAGCGGCTCACTAAGGGAAACTACCTGTCGTCCGAGCGGGGCTCCGGTCGCTACTCGCGATTAGAATCTCGTCATGTCGGTAATCGTCTTCCGCTCGACAATAAATCTCTCTGGAAGGCTTTCCGACTACCGATCCTATCGGAAGCGCATGCGGAGGCCGTTCCCGCTCTATTTCGCTCTCAGATTGAGCGGCAACCACCGATACTACGACTCATTAGCCGTCTAACATTTAATCCTCAGTTTGCACATTCGACGGGATAACTCGATGGAGATTTATTTTTCTGGAGCCGATAGCTGATACCGTTCCTAAGACGAAAGTAAAAGTCGCTTCCCGTCATTGTGCCATCAGGTGTTCTCGATCGTACGCGAAAATGCTCCGAAATATCCTTTATGAATCCGACAATTGTTCGAAATTGGCAAGGTCTGTCTTGCTCAAAGACATGGTCAATCTCCCGTCTTGGCTCGTGAATAATGTTACCCTCGCGGACGCCTCGCACGAGCCCGAGTTGCGCTTCTTTCGCACCGAAGCGTAGCAATCAATTATTAGACTTCGACACAGATTCTCATTCAAGCCACATTTTCTGGTGGAGGATCGAGGAGGCATCTGAGCGACTCGAAGTAGGCTTGAAAAATCGAGAGCGCCTTGAGAACTTCGCGAGCGAGCACTTCTGCTCAGATGTCTGATTGATTAATCGATCGATCGGATTTTGGGCCTTTCGTGCTTGCCAAAAGAGGAGTCCAAGTCAGATTTCAACTGAAAGCACTCCAAATTGCCATCTCCCAGCACGACCTCACCCAGTGTTACCCTTCCGAATCTGACTCACAAGGTCATCTAGCTCCAGATAGGATGTTTGCGCCTTCCGAAGATTTCGAATAAGGGCGCCGTTCTTCAGCTGACAGGAGAGAGTGCTTCGGCAGCGCATGCGTGCGAGGTCTTCAGAAGTGGCGAGAAAGTCTTCGGTAAGCTCTTCAACTACCATGTCTTGAGATGGTCACAATGAATCCGTGCTCAAAGGAATTTGGTCAGTCGACAAGAAACGTTGGCGAAACCATCGTGCATGCGCACCGACAGCAAGTCAGCCACTGAAGTGCTGGTTCCATCGTGAAGTTCTGATTCTCTGAAGACTTCGACACTCTGCGATCAGCTGCTCGACTGGAGAATCTGCCTCCGGATTCCGATCCCTGCTGTATTCGGTGCTATCTGTGATGATGTACAGGGTTCCGTGCTTTTGACGTTTGGTGAAGCCTTGCCGGCATTGACACTAAAAGTCCTGCAAAATGAATGTCTTCCTCCAATACGCCATCATAACAGGTTAGTCCCGAGCATATGCTGATATCATCGAAAATCCGTGGAGTCTGCCAATGATAGAAACACGCCCAGAGCCCAGGGAATTTGATTGAGATTTTCGATCGGAAACGATCTTCTCAAGACCACGGTGGCCGAGAATACTCGACGAGAAACAGGCTCTGGATAAGCAGGAGAGTTCAGGCTCCCCAATCCGCTCTGTAGACTCCAGTTCGAATTCGAGCGGCAAGATCGGAGCTCCGACGATGGTCGTCCGCTTCGAAGATGGGAACGAATTCTCACTCTTGGACGATTTCCCGCTCTATAGGTAGAACCCATCGGGGACGCGATGCCCGAGCGAGGGATATTATCGGAAACGTTTTTTTCATTGATAACTAACGGTTATTCGTCCTTCGCGGGGATGAGATACGCCCGGCAGAGAATAACTTTCCTGAGGCAAAAAACACATTCGGCTGAAATTTCTCGCAACGGTTTTTCAATCAAAACTTCCGCTCCTCTGTTGACTCTTTCGTTAGCGTTCATCTTAAGGATGGAAGATTTCACCTTTGCCGGGGGCTCCGTCTTCCACTCTGTTTAGTTGAGGTTAATGATTACCGACTATGACGAGACCAATGATTCTCGATGCGGCTTGGATCAAGTTGTTAGTTGATGCTATCGAATGGGGCTTGCAAACGATTTTTGACTCGCGTGGGATGAATTTGGAATCGTTCACAATCGATTCCTTCAAGTCTTGAGGCACGCTGAGTGTCAGGGAGCTCTGCGCCTAGATCGAAGACTTCATTGAGCGCATATCGAGGTATGATAAAACGGTTTCGTTGCGTACATAGCGGAGCGCATCGATTTTTGTCGAGGGGAGTGCGATAGCCGAAAGCTTGGCCATTGGGACAAGGAGCGACCGCCGAAGTCAGAGCCTCCTCGAGGAGCATCCCCGTCGAGGAGCGCGCGCGCTCTAGACATCATGACGTGCTGCACGGGTTGGCGCGGAACTCCCTTGAAGCAAGAAGAAGAGCATGTGTTGAACAATTGAGCATGAGATCCGATTGGGAGCGGAATCCGGGACCCTCCGGTCAGAATGCTCATCCGCCATGATGGACCGAAACTTCCGATTCCCTGACGGATTCGAGAGGAAGTTACAAACATCGGCTATTCCCCGCTCTTTTCGCCAGTTACGAATCGTGGTTGCTTTCGACGCCGCAGGCTGATGGTTTGACCGTTCTGACGGTGGTGCGTATCGCGTAGGTACGTTATAAAATTCCTCAGTGGACGAGAAGATCGAAATCTATTAGTCCTGTGATATAAGAGCTTCCGTCTCCGATGCAAATAAAATGACGCTCCTTGAATGCTTAAAGAGAGCTCATGTCATTTGTCCTCTATAGGTCTCGGAAAATCTGCATTGAAGCGAGGATCCACAGGATCGGGCAAGAATGAATATACACTTCCGAGTCTGATTGATGGATAAATCCATTCCGCGATAGATATCCGCAGAAACTCAGCTAGGCTTCGGGTAGAAAGATGTCAAAATGGCATGCCTGATGCCGAAGGAACTCACAGCTCATAGCATACTCGTCGGATCACAATAGTCAATCAATCCACATATACATACATAGATACACAAAGCTGAGTGACGAAAATCAATGTTTCCTGCAACGAATCCCTGATTGAAATTTCGAAATGTGCTATTCAGTCAGTGGATATTTTTTTGGGCTGACTTGGGAACATATGGCTGTTAGCCCATCTCGCTGATCATCTTGCTGCTCGCTGGCGGGTGTCAACGTATTGCCATCCTTGACAATATCGTCATAGAACTGCCATTGTGCATTACATCCCGTGGATTCCACCGAACATGCGGCAAGGGTACGATAGAAGTTTCCCCCGGAATAGGGGCGAACGGTTGGCATCCGGAATCAGTGGTAGTCTTCGGGGGTGGCTCTAATCGAGGAGAGATGTCCGATCGTCGCGAGATAGCTGTCACGAAGGTATTTCACCCGAATTCCCAGCTCCTCGCTATTTAGCCGAGGGACGTCCCCAAATTCTCTGCGTAGATCGCTCCCGCAGAGTGAAGTTCCCTAATCCTCGAGCAGAATGCTCCAGCGTGGGGGACGAAAGGACGACCATTCGTTCGCCTGTTTTGGTACGGAATATATCATCACAACGAATTATGAAGAAAAAATGTCCGCCAGAATCGCGAGCGAAGAATCGGAGGCTCGCGATCGACGCCGGACATCGTTCTTTAGAAGAATTGTTTCGGATGAAGATTTTCGCTTTCGTCGATGACGGTCCAAATGATGAATGTCGACGATAGTGACTATGATGCTGATGATGGAGCCGATAGACGTCCAGAAACTTGTCGTTTGAAGCCGCCGCTGAAAATATACTGGAAAGAGAGTAAAGAAGCCTCGGGGATGAACAACCGCTCTGGAAACAATACAAATGGGAATCGCGCTTCGGAAGGCCAATTATTGACCAAAACTTAATGTTCCAAGGTCGGAATGGCCCTCTGCCAGTTGTGAATTGCACTCTACCGAACAGCCGGCTGCCAGGCTGAGAATTGTCGTCGTGCCAAGTGGAGGTTTCCTCCAATCCTTGCCCCGCGAAACTCGAGCTTCACTGACTCCCGAGGCGTTCGGCATATCTTCTGAGTCTCTCCTGATTCGTTTCTTGAGAGCCTGTGAGCTTTCCAAGGAAGAGCTGCCTTGGACCATTGTGAACAGTCTGCATGGGTTGCGAAATATTTTCTGACCATTGAGACGAGCATCGGTGATTTTTTCGTATCACCACCCATTCTGGCTGGAATTGAGCGAAGGATGAGAACGATATCACTGACGAATCACAGGGGGGATGGGGGGAGAATGCCTGTTCTCAGGTCCAAGATTCAACCTATCGACGCCCAAGGAGGCTATACTGTCCCGTGCGAAACGGCGTTGTGACACGTCTACGTGGCCATGCTCCACGGAGCTCGACGAGTAGAGAAGTCAAGGCCTATTGTGCCAACCTTTCCCTGGGCTCCGATTCCTAGGTTCCTGCATTCATCTACCCATTTCGATTCTCTGAGTGTCCAGCCTCAAAACAGACGTGAAAATTCGTCGAATTTCGGAAAAATAAATATGCCAATCACTCATTGCTACAAAGCTCGGCGATCAATGGACAGATGATGATTGCGCCTCCATTGTCGTAATCGCAATTTCTACTGTGCTTCATTAGGCGCTCTGCTGATAGTTGCATCGATGGTTTTCGCCGCCTCCCCTGCAATCAGGTTCAGCCATGCATGCGACGCGACAGCGGTTGAGTAAGCGGCGGGGTATTACAAAGAGTCTTAACCTCAAGCCAGGATTGAATTCAGTATTGCTTGCTTTGAACGATTCAATCCAGATTCATTCCGCCTCTTTGGGAGAATGACTGCGTGACTCGAATGGCCAGTCTGTCCCGAGCAATAAAGCCTACATGAGAATTACGGTCCGACGAAATACTTACGTTTTTCGAGGAATATATCCCTAGACGACGGGTGCTTTATTCTAATGGCTCTACAAACTGATTCGCGAGAAATATGGATTCAGCGGGACATTGATGCGGGGGAACTTTCGAAACTTCCGAGCGCATCATTTCGGACTTGTTCGATAAATGATGCGAATCAGGGATATTCACTCTACCGTCGAGCATATTTGTCGGGCTCAAGCATTCTGTTCCATGACGAATCGAAGAAGACGCCGGAATTGAGCTTCTCCACGCCATCTACATGTATATCCTTATCGTTGTATTATCGCCCAACCGAGTTCCCTCGAGGACGCGCCCCACTCGAGGTCGAAGGCGTATCTCGTCTTTCGTCTGCAGCATGTCATCTGTTCCGGTCATCTCACTCACACAGTCGAACTCCCGAGTGTTTTGTCGAATAGAAAGAATTTGAGGGTTGGAACTCTATCTAAGAAGCGAAACTCCGAGAATGACGGCCGTGGCGAAGATGGGTAGCAGGAGAAAACTTCTAATAGGATTCGGGTGAAAACCGCGACAAGCCGTCCTATCGGAGCCAGTCTTTCCCTGAAGACTCTCCGTCACATTTGGCGATGGCCAGAATCAATGGTTGGGCTGCAAGCGTTAGACTTCGCATTCCAATTCGTGAAGGTGACCCAACAAGAAACTATGCCAAAAAGGTCAATCTTCCCGTTCCCTTATATAAGTCGATGCCGAAACCTCTCGTTGGACGGTCAGAACCGTCCCTATCAGGGAAGTTTAAGAGGAAAACTCTTAGCGCAGTGTTCGAGCAAGGGCGAGTGCTCGGCAACAGACTCAAAAAAGTATTCACCTCTTGGGAGCATTTTGTGAGGTCGATTATTCATGAGCCTGCTGCTGTTGATTCCATCCGGGGCATGGAGGTCATAGTTGACGCTTGTGTCTGAGCTGCTCGTGGGTGATTTTTAGGTCGCTCATTCGCTCTTTCGTCCGCTCGCCCGCACGGTCGGCTGATTCGGTTGGACGGCGATCTAACGTTTTCGGAAACGCTGCACCGACACGCCGCACGACTGTTTGCTGGAATGCTTGTCCATGGGAATATGAATCGACGAGCATGTTCCGAGTTCTTGGATCATTGTAATCAAAACGATACACCTCCGGTCTTCTTCGGTCCAAATCGCAAGATCATTCGGAAAAGTGAACATTCGTAGAGAGGCTTAAGCGCACATTCTAGAGTAGGAGGTGGAATATTCATATCGCACCGTATTACGCGACATTCATACGGATTCAGGCTGTTTCCGGGATGCCTAAAAACACATCGCCCTCCCAGGATAAAACTTCTCAGGACCGCATTCGTCGAACTTTCGAGCGTCGTGGGTCTGCGTCGACGAATCGAAGAAATACAGTGGATTTACGGTCGCCGCAGCTTATGTCGGACGTATGAGTTTTTACTTGGTATAAGACTTCGTCAGCGGCAGAAATTCTGTTTCTGTGAATCAACTGCTCAAGGGACATGAGGGCTTTCTTCAAGCGCTCAGTCAGTGTGCGGAGAAACCGACCGA